TTACTTTATTCTTCAGTTGGGTATGCTGTATTCCATCTCTTTCGCTTTATTTATAGGATTCTTCTTTTTCCAGTTCCATAATCTTTGTGATAAAATATAGATCTATTGAGTGTTTTTTTCTGTAATTCTCCCTTCCTTGAATGTTACTTTTGCATATTTATCTAATCCGAAATCCATACCGATGTCATCACTTAAATATTTTACAGTAAACCGTTCTACTCATTGTCGTCTTTGGCAAAGAGCTTGATCTCTTCCATGCAGAAGATATGATTAAATATTTTCTTTTTTTTTTGTATCTATAGATATTACTGTTTAGTTCATGCGAAAGAGGGAGTGAGGACAAACAGAACAGACGGGGGAGGAAGTATCTTTGAAAGGAACATATCTTTGAAAAGATTCTTCGTTCATGCATATTCAAACAACATATTTATAAAGCCAAGTGTTATTTATCAAAGGCTTTATGGTGAATGATAGATTTTTATCTTTTTAGTTCCATGTTATTTTATATGTAATTGATCTTTGCAAATTTACCTATCATGAATGTTTCGAGGAGACATGTTTCATATTTATAAATATGTGGGGCAGACAAGTTATTGGCCTATAATTTTTAGGGAACGTTTTAGGAATATGTAATACCTTCAGTTGACACATTATTAAATGCTTTATGGTGAGTTCATGAATAGATAATACAGCACATTTCATTTCTTAGATTACCATTTTTATTTTTTAAACCTGTAAATTTTCTTGTTATATTTCCCCATTCTTTAGGTTTTTATTTTACTTTCTCGTTTAGTAATTGATATATTTAAAAAACGATATGAATCGATATTTGACATGATTTTCTAATTCCAGGGAATGAATGTTATCGAGAACAGAGAACATTTCGTCAAGATAAAGGTGAGGCTCATGTTTTATATTGTATTTGAGCAATCTCTCTCTCTTTTTATTTTAATAGAATTATTGGCCTATAATCTATTTTTGGATCGTTTTTCCTTTTTAAGACTATCTTCGTTTAGGAGATATGTAATATTTTTTTTTCAGTTCTTATCGATTTTTGAAATTTCACTTATTCATTAGTTAATTAAGTTGATATTTGTGCCAGAGTTTTTATGCGTTCATGAATAGATAAAAATTAAAAAATTTTATTTTATTATTACATTTTATTATTTCTTTGAGATTATTCCATTTTTTGGGGTTATTTTTTTATTGTTGTTATTATTCTTAATATTATTTGTTATCATTATTCTTAATATTATTATTGTTTTTTTTATTGTTTTTATTATTTATATTATTAATATCATTGTTATTATTTTACAGGTTTATCCTTCATTTATTATTGTTATTATTATTCTCGTTATTATTTTGATCCATTGTTAAATTATTGTCATTATTAATTATTGTTTTATTATTCATTAATCAAAATATTATTATTATTATTTCGTCTTCAATATTTATTATATTATTATTATTATTGTCATCATCATCATCATTTCATATTCGATTTTGCTATGGACACACTACCCACCAAGTCTGCGGAAAGACCTATTATTGGTGTGTTGTTTACATTTCATGTTAATTTTTTTTTTTTTTTTTTTATCTCCGATGAAGTTGCTAGCGTTACATAGACAAAGTCTTAGTGTGTGTGCTGAGAAAGACAATTTTCTGTATGTCTCTTAAGCTGGGGTTTCAGGGATTCTTTCAATGTGTTGTTTTTGTTCCATTTTTTATAATTCCAAGTGAACCAATTCTTGTTTTCAATTTTACATTTTATTATTTCAATTTACTTTGTAAACAATTTATAGTTCCAGTGGTCATATGATAGTAGGCAAGTTTTTTCTTTCTGGTTTTGACAATGATGTCCGGATTTGCTTCTTTTTTCTGTCTGTTTATTTTAATAGAATTACATCCATATTTTTAACCTAAAGACGGTTAATCTAGTGTTTCTTCACATTTTCCAAAATAAGTTCTATTGCGATTTTTATATTCATTTTCAATCCTGAGACCAGATGGTCTATTGTTTCTTGGTATTTTCACAGAACCTGCATTTTTTATTTGGATCGAGGGCGTTTTCTCGTCATATTATTATTATTATTATTATTATTATTATTATTATGCAGAGGTTTTTTATTATCTGTTCAAGGGCTTTGTTGCTTTTATTATTCCTGCAATAGTTGGTTCTTGGCTTCTGTTTATTTTTATTATTAATATTATTATTATTGTTATTATTATTATTGTTATTATTATTAACATTACATTTAGTAAGTACACGTGTTTCGATTAGACATCTCCGTTCTTATAAACAATGAAATTAATGTCAACTGCCTTCGAGATCGAAAGAAAATGTGTTTCCCGAGGTTAATCGAAACTGTTATTCCATTTTAATCCAATAAGCCATCTTAAGGCCAGCGGTGGTTTTATCATTACGCGACTGGATGCCAATTACAACGAAGAAAGGTTCAATTGCCTTATTTAAGCAATCGACATCTAGCGTATATAACTTTCGATGTCGATAACTGCTAAATTTTTTTTTTTTTTACATCTGAAACATAAAGTCCACAGACAAGCAATTAATGGATTTTTAAAGCTGACATTAATTCTTATTATTATTTAAAAAAAGTAAATTCGATAGCTCTCGTTCGCGGACGTAAAGATGATCAAATTTCCAATCTAA